CGTTTTTTAAGCGCTTTGGGCCCTGAAACCGAGGAAAAAATTAAATTGGCGAAAAACGAAATTCGCTTTGACTTGTAGCTTTCGAAAGTTGATTCGGGCCCTCGCATTTAGTGGTCGTGAAAAATTCGACGATTCATTTTCTTTCAAAATTGTTGGTATAGTTTGATAGCCAGCTCCATAAGCTTTAATTTGATATAGGGGTTTAGGTATCTACAGCTTAAACTGCACGCGCTACATCGCTTGCGCGCGAGACACCCCTGAAGGTATACTGTTACCTTAATATGGCATAGTTGCAGAACTGTATCTTTCCAGCAATACCAAAATATATTATTTTTATTGTAAAGGGATTGTTGTAAAACCAACCCATTTTGTAACTGAACGTGTCTGTTTCAGGGGAGTTAGACATGCATCACCCAGAGCCCGGGGAGATAATTTTTACTGCGGACTTTTGTGACAGACCTCCCACCATGACCTGGAGGTACCCTGAGCCCCGAGCACTGTCGGCGGTTGATCTTGTACCACTACCTTTGTCAACACCTGTTCTGGTCAACACGTTGAATATGGGGGACGAGTACCAGGTAAGGCGTGACATGCTGTTCTATGTGACATAAATCGTGCATGAACTAATTATTTTAATGTCAAACGGTCTAAAAAACGATTTTCAGTTTCATGTTCAACTTTTGTCGTTAATGATCGTCCGTTTAACCTTCTGCCTGTCTTTTGTTCATCAGCTGGTTCTTTCATTCCTCCGTTACATTAAACGCTACAAACAATACAAACAATTGCAATACCACAACAAGGAACATGTTAATGATCTGTTTGCATACAGGTGCCATGTGTTCTTCGTTACTGGGATCCAACTCAGAAATGTTACATCACCTATAAAGACTTCAACCTGTCAGAAAATAACGCCACCTCCATCTCTCTCCCTGACCCGTGCACGGCTCATCCCTCGGAGGTGATCGTCGCTGCTGAGTGGCAGATGGTGGTTGATGTGACTGTTGACATTGATTACCCAGATGATGGAAGGTCAGTTACATCACGTTGCCGTTTGTTTTGTGCGAACAACGCAGCAAAAACAATTTGTTGCTAGTGTTGTTTTGACTGAAAAGGTATTCAGGTCGCAAGCACTCTTGGTAAACTTACCTGGCATGTTCAAACCAGTGCCATTCTAAGAAGGAGTATTTACACTCTTGTTTTTTTTTTCAGTAGACGACAGTAACCCTTACTTTTTATGAAATAGTGATACGATCATATAATGTTTCCCTGAGGTTCCAGTACAAGTTAAGTTAAAACTAAAATTGGTGATTTTAGCTGCAGTTTTAAAAGTTAGTCATAAAAAGAGTCGATTTCGTTTCCCCCAAGAGGAATCAATTATTGCCAGATTTTATGAACGCAAAACCCGATTCTCGCCTTCTGCAGATTCTGTATGTCGCTCGTCAGTCATATCTAAGGCAAGCAATTTAGGTTGGTCCCGAGAGTTTCCATTCTAGGTGAAGCAGATACACCGATCAGGTGAAAAACGATGGTTTTTGAAAACTTCAGAACAAAGGAAAAATCTTTGGCAAAAAGGGGCTCTTTCCAGTACTGTATTGTAAGACTTGCTTTGTGATCTTCTTACCCTCAGTGAGAAGAAGTTGTCTACTTCTGTTTTTTGCTTAATCTGTAGTTATGATGGTGACGATGACACGTGCTCATCTTACGCCTCTCCATACCGGTCTCTGTTAAGTGCAGCCTCATTAGCAGCATCTGTCAAGGTAAACTCGGTAGTGAGGCCCGCCCTTAACCCCGCCCTGTCAGCTCAGCTCAACATCAGCATGTTACAAGTCAAGTTTACTAACCATGTGCACGCTATCGGCCAAGGTAAGATGAGTGGAATGCATTTGTGAATGATGAGTCGCTCCGAAAGGAAAACACAAAAGGATCACCTTCAATGTTGCTTTTCCAGTGAGCAGCGATAGTTTCTCCTTGTGCTCTGCCTTTCGCTGGATGTAAAATTTCAACGTTTTTCTAGAATTGAAAAAGAAATATAATTAACGTAATAGCCGTTGTATGTTCCTTGGTAAACACTTCCCAGAAGTGTCACACAAGACACCATGCATGCTCTTAGCAGAAATGTAGCCCAATATACCACTACGCTGAGCAAACGTTAGTCTGCAAAATTGAACGCCTTAAGCTACATTACAGAGTATCTTTCAGAATAAGAGGACACTTTCAGGTGCTTGGCTTAGGTCTTTTATTGCGAACTTCGTTACAAAGCTTAGAGACAATCACAACAAAATCTTGCGCGTCCACGATTTAAAGAGTTATTTGTCGTTCATATTTGCAGCTATTCCACAACACCTTGTTGGATTTACCATGGACTCCTCCCTGCCAACCGACCAAGAATTCTTGCTACTGTCTGTCGAGGGACTCAACGCTGTCATCAAGGATGTGGGAGGGGAGGGAGGGTTTTTACATGTACAAACTGAATGGAACTGTCATGCGCAGGTGTTGGATTACGGGGACCTCACGTATAGACCTCTCTTGAGCCCGTTTGATGTAGGTCTCACTATGGCTCTGTATCACGAAGGAAGAGTAAGTAAAAAGCCTGTGATAATTTTCTTTATCGGAATCGGAGTCAAAGGAAAGGAGAACCTCTCATTTTGCATTCTTTTTGTAATATAATGGTTTTCGTTAATTGTAGGGAACTGGCCTGTAAAATGAAACTCCCGTGTCCCTGGAATATGTTTTGAGCTTTTTAAAATGATGCTTTTTAAATTAGTATTTTAACATGGTACTGAAACAGATGAGAGTGCTTCTTTAACCTCAGGCAAACGTGAAATAACCCGTTGCTATTATCGCTATCGCTGGCTGTCCTCACTTCTTACGAGTTTTTGTTATGTCTAGCAAGCGGGTTTAGCTCCTCTGCAACGCAGGCTAGTCATTTGTAGAATAATGTTTGATATAATCAAATCTTTTTTTGTCGCGTTGCTGGCGATGTGTGTATTTTTGACGGAGCTTCTCAAATTCCTTTCCAAAACTGATGACTGTAACCTGCAACTTTCTTTTCACTAACGGTATGTAATGATTGTTTCCACAGATCAAGCCACCAAAAATTAAAGATGCCCTCACTGGTCTCCTCGTGTGGCTGGATGTTAGTCTGGAGGCGGGTACAGTCTTGACACATGTCAGTCAAACTACGATCCACACAATCGCACTTTCCGCCAGAGCCTGGGGCCAAACTGGACTGATTGAGGCTGAGAGGGTTATTTTTAACCATTACATCATCTGTAATGACACGCACGAAGCTTTGAGGCTTGGTCAGGTGAGGGCATTTAGAAACAATATGCTACTTATACCGTTAGGAATTGTGACCTTGTGTTTCGAATTATGGTAATTATTATATTTTGGAATCTTTTTTCGAAAAGGAAATTTCATATCTATTTATCACTGATGTGCTTATTGGGTTACTGTGAACTGGCTGTAAAATACAATATAGAACTACAAACTGAATTACTATAGTGCCACTACTGAAGAGCGGGTGTTAATTGCGTGTAGAAAGTAATGAGGCAATTACACTCAACTGAATTCTGACCTTGTGTTTCGAATTATGGTAATTACTATAATTTGGAATCTTTTTTCGAAAAGGAAGTTTCATATCTATTTATCACTGATGTGCTTATTGGGTTACTGTGAACTGGCTGTAAAATACAATATAGAACTACAAACTGAAGTACTATAGTGCCACTACTGTAGAGCGGGTGTTAACTGAGTGTGGAAAGTAATGAGGCAATTACTTTGGTTTTGGTTTTTCGACACTCAATTGAATACCGCTTCAACTGGGGCCATTTAAGCAATGAAAACCAATGACATCTTTCAAAGCGATTAGAGAATGTCGACAATATTAAGTTGAAACGTTGTTCTACACTGAAAATCAATTGTGCCAAACAGCTGAAGTTGAAATCCTGCAAACTGTTTTACTTTGGTTTTCGTTATCCAAGTGGGCCAGGTTACAGTGGTCGCACTGTAAGAAGTCCCTTCTTATAGGGGGCTTAACAATTGGCAATTTAATGGTCAGAGGAGTTGAACGTGTGACATTTAGCTTTCGAGTCACTATTCTTGCCACTGTGTTACGCTACTTGGAAGAAATGATGGTGGTTGTAGACCAGAAGTCCACAAACTGTTCATTACTTAACTTGATGTTTGATTTCCTTTCTCACCCCTCCCTTTAGGTGGACACTGATGAATCGTTGCTACTCGGAAGCCGTCAGGTTCATTCGTACAGTTGGAGGACTCCGCATACAGTGAAAGCCTCTCCCAGGCTACATGTGTGCATCGAGACCGAGGGAGACTGGCGCTGGTCTGAACCGTTTGATATCGACACTGTTGGTGTGTTTGGTCGAACAATTCATCACCGGCTTCACAGTGCTACTCTGTTTATTGAGGTTAAACAGCTCTCTGGCATGCAGAAGCAGGTAAGTCTTCACGAAATTCTTATCTCAAGACTTTTAACCCTTTTTGGAACCTTAGCCACACACGTTTTCTTTTATAACTTTGTGTATATTTTTACAGATCATCATTCGTGGAAGCCATATTATCGTCAGTCGCTTGTCAATCGATGTTGATGTGCAGATTCTAACCAATCCCACGCTGAGTTCTGGACAATCACCCAAGGCGCGCTACCAGGTACTGTCCACTCTGAATGCGCGCTGTGCAGAGAATAGCGTGCTTGTTCATGAGTTTTAGGGTAGCTTAAATGGCTAATATCTCGATTTCGACTTGTAGTGGTAGTCATCGAGGGCTCTTAGAGTTGTAGTGCTGGAGTAAAGGCTTTTGTTAGATATAGTCAAGAATTTGAATAAAAAATTCAAGAATCTTTTCTGCTCAATTCTAGGTCCTTGAGGATGTGTCCCTGCCAGCAAACACGGCGCTGCCGTCTTACGTCATTTCACATGGGGGACTAACAGGCATGCGCATCCGCATTCCTAATGGTACCACGTGGTCTGACACGTTACCGCTGGAGCACGTGGAAGGGGAGGGTAAAGGACAGCATCTTATTGTACAGGTAATTATGAAGTTCATTATATTTGAATATTTCATTGCCTGTCAGGGCTTGTCATAATACGACGAATAGTAATATTATGGAGCCAATCACAGAGCTCTAAAATGACTGGAAAAGGATGTAACGGGTGCCGAACGTCCTTAAACATGTTCACAAAGGTTTCTGAGTGCGGAAAGGGTCGTGTCAATCAATAGAGTAGATAGAATAATCTGCACGAGTTCGTAGTTCTGTTATTTGAGTCATTACTACCTTCTTCCTCTCAGATTTTCTAAAAAGCGATGTAGACTGACAGGTGTACCTTTTTCGGTGCATTTTGTGTTCCATGAACTCACGTGCAGTTATTTTCTAAGTTGCTTATGCAATTTAGTTTCATCATTTCTTTTATCCGTTTTGACCAAACAGCTTCTTGGCGTGAAGGAATTCCAGACGTTTTATTTCTGGTACAGTGTGGAGAAACCTGGATCCCCGGACCAGATACAGGTAAAATATTCTTTTCTTTGTTCACACATGGAATTTCGAATTTCGTTTTGTTTGTCGTCTGGCCCTAAATAACGTTGTCTTGTAGGTGACATTATCTCCACTTTTCGTTATGCGGAGCCACCTCCCGGAACCAGTCCTTATGAATGTGTTCACGGCCAAAACCAACTCATACTCAGTTCTCCAGCTCCATGGCCGTGCACAGGAGCAGCAGATGTACAGCCTGGTGCCGAACTCTTGGCATCACTTGACGTTCCAGTTCAGTGGGTCAGGTCAGTGGTCCAGTCCTTCTGTGCCACTGAACACAACACTGATAGAATTAGCCAATAGGATGAAGAATGACAGTATGGTGGAAGAGGAACAACCGCTGGCTGATATTTGGCCGTACTGCAGGAACCATCAGAATTTAAGGTATGGGTAAAAGAAATCGCTTACCAACTATTAATTAAACTATCGCTTTCACTAACTTGGAATATACAAAAATATGTTTGTTTTTCTTTCCTTTCTCCTGAAAGGCGCTCTGAAGTTGTTTTGGAGGAAAAACCTGAGTCCTCTTTAGTGAAGAACGTGTCATTTGCTGGTCACGTGAACAACCAGAAAATACATCCCGATTCCCCGGTGGATGAACCACAAGGTCAGCACTGTACGTCATGTAATGCGAATGACTCTTCTTTAGATTGTATAGCAGGAGCATTGCAAAACCCGTGAAGAGTAACAAATGTGAAAAGTAACGAGACAAGGAAGCCAACTTCATGAGAAGTTACTTTTTCATTTTGTCATTCCGTTTATATTATTTTTCTTTCTGTTTCTTCCGTTTAGACATGCGTGGTAAGCCGTCTCCAATCCCTCCTATAGAGGTGCAGTGCCGAGTGGTAAAACGCTGGCCTCATGTCAGCTCACTGTTGGTTGAAGTATTACCTTGGTGTCTGCTGGTTAACAATACTGCGGTGCACTTGATCGTCAGGGACCTGGATCGAGATGTTACGGTCGATTTACCGACTGGTTCAATCGTGGCGCCTCACAGAATCACGGTACGAGAACACGTCTTAACAAAATGAAATAAATATAGTATTTGCGCAGGCAAGAAAATATCCAGATTGGCAAATTCCACGAAGTAATTGTGTTTTCTTTCTTCACGGTCAACTACTATGATTAACTCCTGTTTTTATTACTTTTACGCAGAGAAAGGTGCAATTGGGAACCTACTTTGAAGGCAAAATTTGTAGTTGGTCCGAAGCGGTGTCTTTCCCATTGAGCAGCCAAGAAGCATCGTCGAACGACGCCGAAGACAGCCTGTCTGTTCCGGTGGCGTTCGTGTTGGGTTCGGGTGAAATTCGGGGCGCCAGATGGTCAGTTACATCTCGTATGTATCGTGGAATCGAGATCATATCGATTGAACAGAGGTTTTACGTTATTAACAATGTTGGAAGACCTTTACTTGCTCATCCTGTTCTGGTGATGTCTGGTAAAAAGGTAACGAATAGCTATCTTGTTTTGGTATTTCAGTGTGAAAAATGGGAGATCACGTTCTCCACAGCTTATCCTTGTCCTTTTTCTTTTCCAAAGAATATTAGAACCTGCAGGCACGGATGTTAGGGATAAACTTTGTTTTGTCGTTTGAAGAAGAATTTTGTACGTCTTAATTACGTAATGTAATCGTGGCTTTCCTTTACACGGTATACCGAAGGTTTAAAATGGGCGAAGTTAAGTGTTGGTGATTATTGTACTTACTCTATATGGGCAGATTTCATTCTTTGACTCTTGAGGCTTTTTTGAATCTTTATTTTCTAGATGCCATCGAATAACCTCAACAGAGCTACCCTACTTCGCTTGCCGAGCGATCACAATCAAGCCATACCTGTGCCAACTTGGGACGTCCCGTCCCCAACAACCGTAGTACTTAACGAAGAAGGTAATCCCTCGTTCAGTGGTCAAACATCTCCTGTATTGTTTCTGGCCTTAAAAGAAGAACAGCCTATCTCAGGAAGCAAAGGGAACAACTGTAGATGGTCACGTGCCGTTTTAATCACACCGGAAGTGACGCGTCAATCTGTCGCAGTATCACTCGATGAAAGCGCCACACTTCCGTTGGTCGTGACATCATACGTCATGGATGGCATTGTTTACATCGTTGTTGCCTCGGATCCAGCTCCCCGTCTGCTCCTTCAAAACGAATGCCCATTCACACTTCAGTTTGGACAAGCGATCCCCCCGCAGAGCCCCAGTCACGTGAGTGGTTCTTCAGAGAAGATTGTTATCATGGAACAAATGAGAGGCTTGGGTGAGATTCCAGAAGTTGCGGCTTTCAGTTCCACTTACTATGAACTTCCGATCATGCGCGAATGGTTTGCTACCTCCAGTGAGGTACAGAGGCTTCCCGAACTACACATTCAAGCGTTGTATGACGTCAATGTGGCCGAGATATCAGAGGAAGAAGGCGAGCAAGGCGAGCTTGGCGCCGAAATGACAACTGAAGTCCCTCAGGGGTGGAGTAAAGGTTTTGATTTGACTTCTTCAAAGGAGGCGTGTGTTAACTTGCCAGGGAGGGGGCAGGTTTTGATAAGAGTATCCAACGAACGTCTCTGTGCGCGTGTCAAAATCCAGCCTTATGGAGAGGAAGGTGTACGGTCTAACACAGTTCAGTGTGTATCGCCCCCTCCATCTGTTATCCATGCGGAGTTGTTCATTTGCCAGCTTGGTGTGACAGTTGTAGATGAAGTTACCAACTTCAGAAATCCTTACGAAGTTCTCCGAATGACCGCCGAAGGTATCGTCGTGTCGCATTCGGCAGTGCGAGATTCTACGGAAGGTAATCGTGAGTTGTCCCTGCGTATTGGAGCATTCCAGGTTGACAACCAGCTGCAAGATGATACGTACGAGTTTTCAGTAATTCTTACACCAAGCAATGGTCCAGTGACTCCCAGGAAAACTCCATCATTGAGAAGGACTGGTGCCCGTTCAAGAGCGAAACCGCTGGTCAGTATCAAATGCGTGTATGAACCTGGCACATGCGCAAATGGCGTATTCCTAAGTTCTCTAAGCATTTCTCTTCAACCGCTGACATTATACATTGAGGACACTATTCTCTACCGTCTTGGTGACATGGCTGTGTCATTCCTACCTCCTTCCCATTACTACTCGTCCACATCACGAGGTAACCAAGAGAACAGTTCCCTAAAGGTATTAGATTTAACGTCTTCAAGTATCCAGCCCATCGTAATGGGCGAGTTCAACGTCACTCCAGTGACATTTAATGTCACGCTACATGGCTCGGCCAAGCTCTTCTTATCAGTGGACGATTCTCCGCTGTCACTCGGTGAGTTTCGCTTGTCTCCAGTTTTTCTACCCACCTCCGCCCTCGTTCAGAAGCTCACCTATCATTACGTGACCGCGGCAGTGTTCAAAGCTGGTTGGGTACTGGGCTCTTTGGAGCTTCTCGGGAATCCCGCGGGTTTAGTGAGAAGCTTAAGCCAGGGAGTAGCTGACTTCTTTTACCTACCTTATGACGGGTTGACCCGTGGCCCGGGTGCTTTCGTGTCGGGAATGTCTCGAGGCATGTCGTCATTTGTCAGACATGTTTCCACTGGTGCCCTGACTTCCATCACGAGCCTGGCCTCAAGTATGGCGAGGAATCTGGATCGACTCAGCATGGATGGGGAATATCTCCGACTGCTGGAGGAACAGAGATGCAGAAGGCCAAAGAAAGTCTTAACAGGTATTATCAAAACCCCTGGTATTATGTTATATATTCTTTGTTTGTTTTTGTTTTCTGTTGGAATATGTGGACTCTACCTGTAACAGGTACATGAACAAAGGATCAACCGTCTGCATTGTACAAGTTCCGAATCAAAACTATGTTTGATCGTATAACTTTCGTTTCCGCTAGGGAAAGGGTTAATTGATAACTTTAGCTTTCAACACTGATTGATGTGAGGTCTGACATACGCCTTGCCGTACACTCGTTTTTTGGTTCATCGTAGTTTTCAACAAGATACCCTTTTTTCCTTGTAATGCAAACGAATGCTGGAGGCAATGTTCTTGTAAAAAAAGAGAAATAGTTGCTTTTTAGGACCTACCCTTTTGGTGTTAACAATGAACATTCAAGTGTACAAATCGTATTTAGATGCGAATTGTAGCTTATTCTTGACACTAATTCCACTAACGTTGTTTGTGCAGGCTTATCTCAAGGCTTGGGAGGGTTTGGTCTCAGTCTCCTCGGCGCCGTAGCAGGTATAGTCGATCAACCCATCCAGGGAATACGACGAGCCAACGATGTGAGGGAGGCAGCCAGCGGTGTCATTACAGGGGTGGGGAAGGGTCTGATAGGTGTGGTCACTAAGCCGTTGGGTGGAGCAATGGAGCTGGTGTCGCAGACCGGACAAGGAATCCTGCAGGGCGCTGGCTTGACTCAGCTGCCAAACAGAATGTTCACTCCTGGTGAAAGACTGGAGTGCTCCACAAAGAACAGCCATTTGAAGTATTTCTGGTAAGGCATTTCGTGTTTGTCAAAACGGTTCCTGGATATGTTTCAGTGATTTTCAAAAATAACTGTGTTAACTTTGGTTATGCGATCGCTGAACTTCCTTCGCCAATGAGGGTGGAGGTGTTGGTTTGTCGGCCAAGCAGGAGACCCAAACCAATCGTTGTTTGGCGTATCTTCTTTTTCTCGCGCTTGCCGCGTGTAGCGTGTGTTCGCTCATTCAAGACATGATCTCATTGATTGACTGTATGATTACGTTGGTTGTTGTTTCTCAAAAGTCACGTGTAAACCACTCTGAGGTGTCACAAGAAGTACAAAGAAAAAAATTATTGTATAACTACAAAATTGGACTTTGGTAGCATAGTTTTCTTGGTTATAATCCCCGATTTTCTTGCAGGAAAATGCTTCATTACCAAAGAGATATCGATCTGCTTCTGCATTTGAACGCGACTGTTGTGACGTCATCTGGGCATGACTACGATGGGACAATTCTGCTGACCAGAGACACGTTATTCATCGTGGGCTCAGCTGTAGACGCCATTCAACAAACTCTCTTTATTCGGGACATTGACTTACAAGAAGTCGAGGAAGACAACAGAGGTGTGGCCATTGTGAACCAATCAGTCATCACAAAGGAAGAAGGTGAAGAGATTGACGGGATGCATGACAGTGGTGATGCAGACCGCTTGCGGCAGTTCCTTAGAGATGCGCGGGCTCAGGCATTGGAGCAGATACCTTCGTTGGATACCTCTGAGAGTAATTTAACGTCTCCTGGTCAGAAATTCGTGTTACTTGTTGACCCAATGTTGAGGAGGACCCTTGTACTTGAGTTTCATTCGGCGAAGAGGAATTATAATTCTGAAACATAGCGACGCCGAGTTCATAAATGTGTAATTTATATTAACTTATTCTTTAGGCTGAATTTCAAAGAGGCGGCTTCGGGTGTCAGCCCTCTCGACTTCTCTTTAATCTTTAATCAATATTTATACGCGGTAAAAAAATTCATCAGGTACAATAAATTCCAGTAAAATGTCTAAGATCCTAAACCTTTAGGACCCAAACTTCGTTTTGAAAGATGAATACACGATTAATATTTCAGGCCACATGAACTGAGAAATCTGCTGTTGTTAGTATCATAGACACAGTACAACTACTCGGATAAATAACCTACAATGTTGAAATAGCTCGAAATACATGTTAAGTGTAGTCTAGTCAAGGCTAAATGGGACACCTCAGAGAACCATTTCATCCTTTACGGGACTTGGGAAACTTTAAAACATTTGGAATTGGCATCGATTTTCAAATTGTCCAATATTACAATATTTGAGTGTTGATGACCTTTGGAATATCAGTGTTAAGAGGAAGTGCGCGGTCATTTTTGTAGTCGCTATCTGGAGCAAACAAAAGATTGACGTTGTTGTATCTCATCTAGCCACCACTAGACTCTGACCTCCGGTTATTTTTCTGTTGATTGCACTGGAAAAAAATATCGTTCAGAGGACTCAGGAAACATATTACAGTATTCAAATGAACTCATTCCACTTGAATGGATACAAAATGTAACAGCAATGGTCATACACTCATCTCTGCGATTTGGCCAAAACCTCTTCACACGAGTTCTACTCTACACAGGTTTTAGTCAAACCGCGAATAAATGATGTTGACCATTCCTTTATAAGCAAAGCAGGGATGCAGTAGGGATGGCGCAGTGGTGAGAACGCTCTCCTTCCACCAATGTGGTCCGGGTTCGATTCCGGCCTGGTGCCATATGTGGGTTGACTGTTGTTGTTGGTTCTTCGCCTTGCTCTGAGGGTTTTCTCTGGGTTTCCTCCCTCCATAAGAACCAACATCTCCAAACTCCAATTCGACCAGGATAGAGCACCCGCATGAAAACCAGCTAGGGCTGGTGTGGGTTCCTCTCTAATTATTTAATGCTTTATTTTATATAGGGGGCTGGATATGGCGGAAATCTTTTTAATTGAACGCAAAATAGTTGGAAAACAAACAGGTGTTTTCCCAAAAGCAGCAGGTTTTCTTGCTTCAAACAACGCCCGCGTTGAAAGGCTAGGAATGTCAACTGACGTGATAAAGAAATTGTTAGTATTTAAAGCAATTAGATTTCTATTTAAATATAAGATATTATAACTGGGCGTGGAATAGGATGTTGATGTAAATATACAGTCTCTTCAATTTATTGTAACTAATAAAGAGTGCATCGTACGAGAATGTACGGAAAAGTCACTCGATAAACAAGTAAGCATACGTATAAAATTGGACAACTAACTTTATCACTTGTAAATGTAATTTATTATACTACACGAGAACGGTTCAAAGTCATACAGTAATGGCAACTTACATATCTTTTACTTAGAAATGCGAGTGCATTTATGGCACAGTTTGGATTTATAAGAAGACAGTAAATATTTTTGAGGAGTTTTAAAATTAGGTAAATTGTTTCGATTAAAAGGAAAAGATTCTATCTAGCTTACATTATCTGTTGGTGTAAAGCTACTGTTTAATAATTGTGTATTTAATCTATATCTTTGACAACATTTTTATCTTTACCCCATTTTAAACCACGTTACAAACTGGTTAAAGTGCTGTTTGTTATTATTCTCTCCTGGCCGGATGCGGTTTCTGATCGAGACTTGGAACTGCAGTCATCCACTGCTTTCAGTCTGACGAAAAATCTAAGTAAAAATACTTATCTGAATGGCTAAGTCCCCGGCAACGTACCAGCTGGCGTTATCTACCCCACCCCGCTACCGCCCGTCTCAGAGTCTCCCCCCTCCCACTCGAATAAACCATTCTGTCAAAGTTTCGGACATGACTTTAAGTTCCCATACAGGTCATTCCTCTTGTGGTTCATACATGGCATCTGCTGGCGAACCTTGTTCAGGTAATCAAGATCGATTTCTGCTACACACACGTCATTTCCTTCACGACACTGAGCGATCACACTGCCCCAGGGATCCACAATCTGCAACAAGACAAACGAAAACACCCCGTCACGGGAGCCCGCACTTCAGTCGTCTGTGGTCGGTTATATGTACTTCCGAGAAAAACGACATCCTGACTGAAACACTCAGGCAAAAGAACTTTCTATGACCTAAGTATTGTCACATTTGATAAGCCCATTGAATTACCCCGTCCACACTACGCCGGAGGAATTTGAAAACGGATGTTTCACTCTGAAAACGCAACAAATGTTTTCCGTCCACACTACGCCGGAGGAATTTAAAAACGCAGCAATCACCCGACATTTTGTGTTTGAGGAAACCCCGGTCAGGGAAATCACATGATTATCGTGACGCCATAGTTTTCGAAAAGCTCAGTTTTCAAAATCTTTTCCGTCCACAGGAAAAAGAAAAGCCGGCGTTTTCAAATTCCTCCAGTGTGAAGAGCGTTTACGAAAACCTTCGTTTTCGTGACGGATTAGTGTGGGCTGTTGGCCTAACCGTAGAAATTAAGCCTCGTTTTCAAATTTCTCTGGCGTGGTGTGGATGCTGCCTTGACATAAGAGATTTCAAGATTGCCGCATAATTGCGATTTCATTCTCAATTTTCATTTCTTTTTCATTTTAATTCAGGTAACCAGCAGTGCTTCTGATCTCTTCGGAGAGCGTGAAATAACTTTTGGCACCCAAACTGCTTGAAACATAGCCTCATCTCGGAGAGATGTCTTGGATGAAAATTTAACCTAAAAAAAATCGTCTGTGAGGGGAGATAAATCACAGATATTAAAAGGAACCCCAGATTCACGCGTCTCTCATGATTTTCATACAGACAGTACCGATAACCAAACGTGCTCATTTCAGAAATCAAACAAAACTAGTTGACTGAGCCCATGTTACCTACCATAGCATGACCGTATGATCGCCGTTTTTCGTTGTGTTGTCCTGTTTGTGCAGCAGCGATCACATAACACTGGTTTTCTATAGCACGACATCTCAGCAACACCTAAAGAAAGAGTTACCCAAGTATTTGTAAAAAGCAAAAGTTCAAGACTAAACTAATCTAGTTCTTTCTCTGGGTCCTTGTCGGCCGAAGCCAATTTGATTTGACGCCGGATATGTCTGTTGAGCGGACATAGCAGGCGTCAAATCGAGCGTTGGTTCTTAATCGGAGCTCCAGATTTCCCGCTTCGGTTGATCTACGCCCGTTACTATCTTTTAACTGATTACTGATACCTTGGTGAACAGCTCTACATTTTGATTCCAAGCGTCCAAGAGAATTTGACGAACTTATGTAAGTTTAGAGTTACTTGTAGATAGAGGAAAGATGTTAAACAAAAAGACTCTCCTTTCCCCGGGCATTAACTCACGAAGAGAGGACTGGAAATGAGAGCTACAGCAAGGCGACACGTTTTTTATCGTAAGCCTTCAATCTTCATGCAACGCGTTGTTGAATTGTGGGTTCTTGGGGCAACCGGTTTAGATAGAAGAATTATTACAAGAAAAAAAATGAGGCAATGGTAAATTGCTTACAGACCTCCCAATGTGCTGATCCTGTGATCTGAGTAAAGGCTGATGGGAAAGTCAATATCTGGGCTCCCTGCTGAGCTAAAACCAATGACATCTCTGGGAAACGTACATCATAGCACTGAATCAACACAACCAAGTTAAGGAGCAAAAATCATTTCTAACAAAATCATCTTATATGCTTTCAGTCCCCATTTACCTGTCTACTCGGGAACTAGATTTTTAGTTACTGTTAACCTGAAGTGTCTGGCATACAATGAAATATCACTCAGCTGATTCCATTTCCTTATTATATTACTTCATGTTTCCAGAAATTTTGGTAAAAAATCCTACATTTTCCAGGTTACCATGACAGGCGATTTTGTATAGAGGATACAATTGCAAGACCAAGATTCCCCACAGGGGTATGGATGGGTGGTACTATCTGGTTGCCAGGGATACACACATCACTCTCCTTAAGCTTGGGTCCATCCTTTACATCAATATCAAACAGGTGTACTTTGCGATACACTGCTACAATGGAGCCACTGTCATCAATTAAGACATGGGAGTTGTACAACCTGTTATCATCTGCTGGACCCTGTTTTGCACAAGAAAAAAAAGAAACAATGTTTCCTCCTGGCCCGGGCTGTTCGAAAGGTGGTTAATGCTATCCAGTGGATAAATGATCGATAAATCACTATCCAGCGGATAGCGTGGTTTGCTTTGTTGACACGTATGCACTAGATAGTAGTTTATCTGGTGGATAGAGCTATCTTCAAACAACTGGGGCCTGGTGGGGCTGGTAGCATAATTCATAGCCTGCAAATGCATCTTTTTTTTTTCGGCTCATCACACACACTGAGAAAAAACCTGATGGCTTTGGCTTGGTGTGTGAAACAAGGGCCACAAAAACAAAACAATGCTCTCACAGGCTACATAATCCATTATCAGACAAGAACTGGATGTCTACAAGTTTGGTGTCCAGTGTGTATATACAGTGTGCAACAATAATTTAACATTCTTTGACATTACACCATGGTTATGGTGTACAGTCTGCATATTAGTTCCACTGACTCACGTTGGTGGAGGGGAGTTGGCAGGGGGTGGAAATGAGAAAAGAAAGGAAGTGGCAGAAATATACAGCAAATTGTCATATTTTTACTAGGTACAAACTATTTATTAATAATGACCCAAGACTCTATAGAAAAGAGTATAGAAGCAGGAATTTCTGAACCCTGTGTGTCCCCATAGTCAAATGTGAATGACAAAATTACATTTCTTAATGTGATGATGACAACTTCTTTATGAGATGTTGAGGTGTTATAATGGCATAAAGCTTTCAATTATTTTCATGTAGGACACTGTACTCCTCCAGACACGCAAGATTGTCGATAAATAAAAAAGTAATGCAAACCTTCTCGTGATATCCTCCCAGAGACAGCCAGATTCCAAGTTCCTTTGCTAATTCACAAAAACCTTGCATTCTTGGACTGTCTAGTGGAGCAGCCATGGATACAGACTGCCCGCGGTTTTCACCCACGTAGTCAAAACATTCAGGAAGAAACACAACCTAAGAGGCAATGAAACTATAGTTTACTTCTGTTTTTTTTTCTTGGAATATGAGCAGTCTTTTTTTCTTACAAAATGAAGAGTAACTCTCTTTTCTCTCCTATTCAATCCTGAATATTTTCACGTCCAAATATGGACTCTCTCCCCACCCCCACCGCTAAAATGTGCAGTTGACGGGAAACAGGTGATTATGTCGAGGCTCATCACACGATCGCGAACCAATATTTTATACTAAACCTTACCTTAGCTCCTCTTGACTTGGCCTTTTTCACGAGACCTTTACAAATCCCTAGATTACGATCCACGTCATTGGTGGAGTTCATTTGACAAACTGCCACAAGAGCAGCGCTAGCTGCGCCTGTGTTCTGTGGAGTGTCTTCCATGAGCAGTCCGTTTATTGAGGTAAATCTTCGCCAATTCAGGCGACAAAACACGCAGCACTTTCCTGCTAAACCAAGCTTAAATTGACACTTCCAGGCATCGACCAAGTGTCTGGTTACTCTAGAAAACATTTATTAAGACACTTCTACAAAATGTCTTGGGCGCCATTTGTCGTGTGGTTTAATCTTGATGTTATATGACGGATTTACCGTTGTGTGGTTTTCAGCTGGTGGGTTGCGGGCTCATGTGTTACACTTATTCTCGATAGTTCCTCGATAGTTCCTCGATAGTCCTCTCTACAAAGTAGATGGTTGTTGGGCAATTTTATGAGAAATTTCGATAGCTGGCGCCAAATATGACAGGGGGAAACGTTCTTAATCGTCCAAAAACGGTAAATTAACCTTTGATTGTAGTTTTTGTATTAGAATGTACTAGATTTCTGGTTACATTCTGTGTTGTTGCGTGACGGCACATTTGCGTGCACGTGTTGCTGCGTTTGTCGTTCATAATTATTATGGGCAGATAACTTCAGTCAAAAGAGGTTTAGGGTCATTGCTTAAGGCACTACGTACTCGACATACAATCATTGAAAAAGCAATCGATAGTAACCGCTAAAACATGATATCGTCTGCTATCGAAATCTGGAGTTCCCTCCACAAACCAACCACATAAACTTAATAGGCGCAAATCAATGGGTTCACTGTAGGTTTAACCTACATGTAGACCGACCAGGGGGATTAATTAAATGAATGAGAAAGTCGCTATGATTTTCTGGGGTTGTAGCAGAAACTTTAATACTAAGCATCCTCCGCTGTAATACATATCCATTCCTCTTCACAGTCATCCCACTGCCCCACTGCTTTTGGGATAGTCCATTTTTTTCCACCCCCAACCCCCTATGGAGGGCTACCTCTGGAACAGGGCCTGTTGGAAAAGTTTTTCCGAGGAGCTGACAAAATTTTAAACCTTGCAGATGCAAACTTCAAAGTGCCAAGAACGAAAAACTAGACTGTTAGAATCCAGCCTACAGTAAAATGGGAATGCCCCATTGCCCTTAATTCCTTGATGAACACAAAAATTTGTTTATAATCTTGAATTTTCCGTGACATGAGCATAAGAACCATTCAAGGAACTATGGCTTAATTGCCTTTTTTTGTTTTAAATCAAAACTGTTCAGTGTTGTTTTTTGAAAGGCTTTGCAGAAAAACCTCAACAAGCTGACAAGAGTGAAAAAAGCACAGAAAAAGAAACAGCTACAGAAGAGTAAAGCATCTAAACAAAGGTGTGAGAAATTGTGAAGCTTGTGAACAGGACGGTTAACAGTTGCGAAAATACAGAATTGAAGACATGAAACAGCATACAGTGTTTTAAATTTACTACTGGTGATCGCAGCAGGAAGAAATTGAAAATTTGTCTGTGAGACACAGTCCATGGGAAATGTAACAAACCAATGTACAGAAAAATGAAAATTCAACAGTAATTCTGAACACACTGTACTCCTGAAAGGAGGGGAAACTAACCAGTTGAAGTTTATTTATATCTAATCTTCTGTTTACCAGTGTTTGCCATCTTTGGTTTTCATGGTCTTCTTTTAGAGAGATGCTTTTGCAAGTGGTATCTTAACCTTGTACAAATGATTGCCCTCAAGGTCAATTTTCTAAGAATTTTTGATTGCTTGAAAGAAGTTAATGGTGAGGACCACATGTAAACACTTGAACTATTGTACATATGTAGTCAAAAGAACTGTCCAACAAAATAGTAAAAAACATAACCATATGAACATTTACATATGTATTTGGTTGTGTGTGTGCTGCTGAGACTCTGAAACCCTTGCTGAATCCCAGACCTTGTTCAGCTGCATTTAGCAATGCTATTCAATGCTCCTTAGAGGTGCAATTCATGTTGTAGTCTGAATTATTCATGCCACTGACCAGTTTCAGGTAAATGATGCCTGTTTGTTCATTTGTGGACAAAAAGTTTAATTTCTATACTTTTTCCCTTTGTAGTCTATTTGAAAACATGATACCCTTCACAGTGGCACAAAGTAAAAACTCAAACTAGCTTATATATGAGAGTGCTCTTTATCCCTTCTTTTTTGTCTTTAATAGGGCCAATCAGAAAGGTGGTGCTTCTGTATCAGCCAAAAAGAAGAGACTTATCATGAAACAGATTAAGAGACAACAAAAAGAGGAAAATACAATGGAAGGTACAAATATATGAGCTTTAAGAGACTGCATGAGTGATCTTGTGAATTAGGGCTTTGGGGATACTGCCATAAAAAAAGATTACACTTTGGTACTTTTCTTTTCGTCTCATCAGTTGTTCCACAACAGCAAAGCAGTAAGAAATCAGAAGGAAAGGCAAGCAAGGAGAGTGAGGCTGAGAAAATGGACACAAGTTAGAAAAACTATCAGGAACGAGACATGTACAAGGAGAACTCAAGAAGTCGATCAGTCCAGAATGGACAGTCTTAGTTGTGACAAGCAGATATTTTCAGTTGCTCACTCTGCATTTGCCTGGGGCAAGATCACATTGTCTGTGACATCAATAGCTCATCTTTACTAATTTTAATACTCAAAATGATGACACACTAGTGTTGCGAGATCGTCATCGTCAACCTTAAATTATTTTGAAAAATAAACCGTGTAGGTGACTACACAGAGCTCTGTTTTTGCTGTGCTAAAGCCGTCAGAACTAGCACTTTTTTTTTTATCCTAAACTCAGTTGTTCCTCTCTCGTGACTGGAGATGTGTCAGCTGGTTACACTCGATCGTGAAATTTTCCTTGCCTTCGGCACCTTGCTTTCCTTGTTTTCAAACGTTTGATTTGTTAATCTTAAACTCTCCCCAATTTCTCCGCGGCAGATCTAAACACAAATTCCGTTAAACCCCTCTCCCTCGTGGCGTTACGACTCAAAGAGACTACAGTGGTTAACATACTTAATATTTTTATTTCCTCGCAACGTGCGAAAGTTTAGATGGCCATTCCCATCACGTCATTCTCAAACAGGGAATGTGGGTTACTCTTCATGCGTAGATTGATTTTCTCACAAGCGTTAACAAAGGTGCAATCAAATTTGTTTGATACATGTCGAATTATTCTCGCATTTTGATTCGTTCTTTATAGTTAAAATCTGCCGTGCGTCTGTTCGGCAAAAGATCATAGAAGACGTCAAAATGTGGTAATAACATCAGTGACACACTCGCCTAACGAGCTCGTGCGCCACTTTTTTGTTCTCACCACATTTTAACGTCATCTGTGATCTACTGGACAGACGCACGGCAACATGGGGTCTGTTTAGGAACTTCCGGGAGTTCTGGGATCGATAGGTGACTCGCAAAATGATTGGTCGACAAGCCGTCTTTGGGATCATCGGCCAAAGGGACTTCTTCTCAGTTTATTTGACGAGGTGTAACGAAGCATCGTTTCGAGAATCCCTCACAAACTTTGTCGTCACTTCACCCAAACAAATCAAGAAAACTAATGCTGAGCCTTTCCAAAGCATCTAGTTTTGGGGCCTGTTTCTCGAAAGTCCCGGAAACTTTTCGCGCCCGCAAACCCATTTCTAGTTAATATCTCTATCTAAAAACAGAGGTGTATACGCCTGAAATTTCTTGTATGAAGAGAACCTCAGTTCATATTAAGAATGTGTGAATAAAACAGCGTCCGGAATTATAAGGTTTGAGATTTTGCTATAGCTTTCCGGGTGCGAAAGCTTTTCGGGACCTTCGAAAAACGGGCCCCTTGTCAGAGGTAAGTAAACGGAGACTAATGTTGTTCGTGAGTGACACAAAAACGATAATGTGCAAAAAAAGGTTGCAGGAGAGAAACACGCTTTGAAATGGTAAAAGACAGTACATAAGTTAAGAATGCACAGTCATAAAACGACATTACCAAACAAGGAAGTCGTTTAACCAACAACGTGAAACGTTTTATTCACCAAGAACATATTTCACATTCTTCAAATAAAAATAAAATTGGAGCTCTCTATTTACAATTACAGCGAGTTCTAATTACAATGCCGTGACACGCGAGGATGCCAAAATAATTCATAATTTATACGTACAATTGCAAACCAACGCGTGAAAATTTACAGGAAAATTTCACTGCACAAAAATATTTTGGGTAATTTGTTACATTTAAACAAGAGGACAAAAAGGGCTAGACAGTAAAGTGAGAGTAACCGCAGATCTTAATAACACTCACCTTAATTTCTACACTCTGATTAAAGCTTTTGCCAATTTGAGCTAGAATTCTCTATTGTTTAAAGAGTCACTGGAATGATTTGAGCAAGAAACTATTTTGAAAACGTTTTTTTTTTTTTCCGAGTTCTGTACTACTGATTACCAGTTACCATAAACACCATCATCCCTCCCCAAATCTGAAACAAAACCGACATTTCGTTGGGTAAGAGGATAAGATATTGAGTGGGTGAAAGAAAGGATGGTTACATAAGAAGAGGAAGAGGCGGCTTATTAGAAGGTGCCCTTATAGAGAGAGGGACGCAAAGAGGGAAAATACGCTATCACCAGGAAACAGGTTATACTCCAGTTGGGTGTCACTGGCTGATAAGAGTTCCACTGATATTCCGGTTGAGGTCATAAAGGGAAAGGACACTGTATTGCAGTAGGAAAAGCCCTATCACATTTCCGAAAACCAGTGGATTAATTATAAAATAAGACGACCAGACACACTGCTAGCTGCGCGCAACATCAGCTCTGGCCTCACGTCTTAACTGCACAGCATTCACCACCATCACAGTCTCTGACAAGAGCGATTCAAAGATAGCGTCCGCCACTTGGAACTTCACAGCAAGTTCATCGTCATCGTAATCAATCCAAAGCGGCTCGTCTTCTCGAAGTTCCTGAATCAAGATTGCGTCGACGAAATCCTTTTTCCCCGCCTTCAGCGGCGTTTTACGGCGGACACGTTCCAGAGAGGGTCTGGCGTCGCCTAGGCCAATTAAATTCAACACTTGCTGCTCCACTACGGGAAGAAAGTCTTGTTCATGGACCAGAGGTTGTAGACCGCGATGTAAGCGACGTTTACGCCGCGGTTTTGCCTTCATCCACGATGGACGGTTAGAGGGCGCCTCCTCTGATAAGAGTTCTTTGAGTAAACTGCCAGTCAAATCGAACACCAGTCGTCGGTAGACTCGTTTGCTATTCGCTTCAAGGTCGTCGTCCGCCTCGTCTTCTCCGATTATTTCCGACGGCGGAGTGACGTTGTCTATCGGGAGTCCTTGTCTTTTACGTTTGAAGAAAACCGAAAGAGAGGAAGCTACCAACGGGCTGACTTCGCTCGGACGATGAGGAACAGAGAAAAGCAAGGAAGCTGCTCTGGAGCGCCTAAAGCTCTCCTCGTCTTCATCTTCGTCCTGCGAAGGGAACTCTATTACTGTATTAGTATTGACTGGAAATTCTAAACGTTCGTCATCGTCTTCTACGTGCTGGTCCCTTGCACCATCAAGATGGTCGTGCAATCGCCTCAACTGATCAAGCTTATCTGCCAATTCTTTCTCATCGATCGGTGAGTTCTGATCGTTCGTTGGGCTTCCGGGGGGCGTTAATGTTTCCTCGGTATACTTAAGTAATCCCTCGGGAAACCGCTGCACAGCCATGAATCGATTAGACCTGGGGGACGAAGGACTCGCCTCTCCCGAGTGAGGTTCATCTTCTATCTTCCCCTTAGAGGGTGTATATGAATCAGTGCTTTGCTCTTTCTCTACTTTTGCAAACTTTTCTTGCCGTGTTCTCATGATGGCGATCATTTGTGACGCAGCTTCTTTAAGCAATGCGTCTGAAAGTTTATTTACGATAGCATTACTTCGCTCTTCCCTTGTTTCTTGCGGAGGTTGTTCGGCAAGAGAGGGAGACAGATCTTCACGTTCTTTTGTTCTAAAGTCCAGTCCAGAAACTGAATCTTCGCCTTGTGAAACAGATAAATGATCAGAAACCTTGTCCCCTTCGGACGTTTCTTCCAACGACCGCGAAATCACATCCTTGTCATCTTCTAATGAAGATCTATCTTCCTTATCCAGTCTATTACTCCTTTCTTCGCGAGTTTCCGCCATCTCGTTCGGTAAATCTTCGGTAGGTCGTCGGCGCTTTTCCAACACGCTCGTCACGCAGTTCATTGACTCGGTCAACAACATGGCAGACAAGTCGTGAACAATTCTCTCAGCTGTCTGGTCAACAGATCGTTCGCTTTGCGGTTCCGGCGTTGGAACATCAGGTAACACTGAAGCTACTTCGTTGTTGTCAATGCTACCCTTCTCGTTTGAGAGTCTTTCTAATTTTTCTTCGTTATCCAAGTCGTGTTTTTCTAAAGTGCTGCTATCTTCTTTGTCACCAATCTCTTCGAGTTCTTCAACGTTTTCACTCAGCTCCTCTGCAATGCTCTCCTCATCGGTAGCTTGCTCTAACTGGACCACTGGAATTCCTGCAAGCCGCTGGTCATTGGGCAGCAGGGGTTCATCTCGATGAAGCTCCTTTTGGGGCGACATCTTATCGCTTCCTTTACTCGCCTCAGAATGTTCGCTTTCCTTAGAGTGGTAACTCAAGTCTTGGGGCTTTCCTTCTTGCTGGAAGCTTTCGTCGTCCTGTACGGAAACGTTGGACTCGGATGCGTCGAAATCTGGAGTGTAGGAAGCTTGACGTATTAAATTGTCAGATTTTCCTTCTTCTGTCTCGTCCAACGCCGAAGGCTCGAAGTCAGCGCTGTACGAAGGAGGGTGATCTTCATTTTTCTCTGGTCTAAGTAAATCTTCTTCTTCTTGTACAGACGTTTGAGATGCTAGGCTGCTTCTTTCATCGGACACAGATATCGTTTTTCGAGTTGCAGGAACATCTTCCTTAATTTCAGATCTTTCATTCCCGACGCTAGAAATTTCCTCAGGAACTTCCGAAAAATCAATCGTCCTTTCTCCATCCTTTGATGGGTCTCTTTCTAGTTGGGTAGATACCTCATCTTTAACGCTGTCCTTTACTCCAGACCGTTCATCGTCTTTTATATCTTCCTCAATACTAATATGTTCACTAATGTCGTCCTCGGTGTTATCTCCTTCACTGTGGACACTTTCAAAAGATGAACTGTACAACTGATGCGAGCTTCGGGATTTTTCCGACGGCACCGGAGATTTTGACAGTCGGGAAGACTTTGAAACCTCGGAAACAGTCGACTTTCGCTCGCTGGCGATACTTGAGCGATCACCCTTCGATTTTGTAAGTCCATTGGATTCAGAGCGAGAGGATTTTGACCTGCTAACAACCTCGCTCACTGATACATCATCTGCAGTCTTGGCTTCATCCGGGATCTTGGAGTCTAGATTGGACCGTTCCTGTACCGAACTATTCCAATCATTTTCCGATTCGTTCCCACGACTAACTGACAATGATTTACTAGAACCTAGGGACCTCTGTTCGAACGACTTTTCAGAGTAAGATCTTTTAGACGCTGTTCGAACTTCACTTTCTTCACTCACAGACAAATCTTGGGCTGTTTTTGCTTCATCTTCAATTTCTGCTTCCGAATCTTGTCGATCCCTCACGGATGTCTTGATTTCACTATCCGATGGCTGCAGACGATTTGCCGAGATTGATTCATCAGGACTTCGAGTTCTGTCAGTAAGATCAAGGTCTACTCTTTTATTCAACGTAGTTTCACCTTTCTCAGGTAATTTCGTTTTCTCCTCTGCTCCAACTCCACTCGCAGAAGACAAATCCTTTTCTTTCTCTTTCAAGCTCGGAGCATCAGAAATTGTTCGGTCGCTTCGACTGCTAACATCCGCATCCACAGCAGTTGAAGCTCTCCCCCCTGCCGGTTCACTTCTGGCTGACACACTTGCAGGCTTGTCCGGGGGAGTGTACTTGCGACTTCCACTGGCATCTGAGGTTCGGGAGAGGTGGTATCTGACTTCACGGGTGGGGATAGTGTCACTGGACTCGCTTTTGGAGTTCACAGCACGTTGCTCTGTTGAGCCAGTCTCTGGTCTCTTGGAGTCCGGTTGAGGTCGATTGAGTTCGGCTTTTGTCCTTGAGATTACCATTTCCACAGCCTGACAGAAGTAACAAAGAAAAATAATCAATATTCCTCCACTTAATTGCGTTCGTAGAACGTAGTCCTAATGCAGACTTGAGTCGAGTTTCATGGGACGGTGGACCTTCGTCCGAAGTTGCGACACCGATTTGGCCGTCCCTCAGCAGGGGCGAAACGAATGACATCATCGCCAGACCATGTGCTGTACATTTCTTTCGAGTGCGGTTCTTTGTTTCGTTCAAGTGCGGGTTTTTATGGACATTTACACTGTAATTTGGAAGCTGTAAGTATTCAATTGTGCTCTCAGCGTTGGATTTAGGTGAATTTAAACGCCTCGACGGTGGCATTTATCGA